GATATGGTTTGTTAGGGATCAAAATCCTTTTTAGGTTTAGAATTTTAAAGTTTAAGGTACAAGAAACTATTAATTAAAGATATTTTTAAAAATTGACAACTCATAGTGGCATTTTTTAAAATGGATACACAATGGTATTTTGAAGTTGTCCTTTTATATTCATTTTGAAGATAATCAATTCTATTTTTTATGATACTTTAATTTTTTTCCCGCTATCATTGTTACCTTCTTTTTCCAATACACTTGTCTATTATCATTAATTACCACAATTGTTTTTATATATTTATACTTTTCATTAATATTCTTTTTCAAGAAAAATTTTAAAATTGAGGAAAATTAGAAGGAACATAATATTTTAAGGGATACCAAAACCCTGAAATAGAAACCTAAATCCTAACATAAGAGTCTAAACCTTTACAAATACACATAAATATAAAAAGTTAAATAGAATCTAAACTTTTAACTATAGCATCAAGGCCTAATTAAATCCAAATCCAAATCGATAAATTTGATCTTTTTTAGTAACCTTTCGGTATGTGTATCAATGTTCTAATTGAGAGACACTAAACCTTAATGTGAGAGCCTAAATCCTCACAAATTTACATAAACATTGAATATCCGAAACTCTAGCATCAAAACCTACATGCAAATACAAACACGTAAAATTTGATCTCTTTTAATAATTCTACAGCATCAAATTATTTGATTATGGATGGTAAACCCTCGAATGAATGTCTAATCATAACCATGCTCAAAGCCTAAATGGATATGATAGATTTCTAGCATAAAATCTTGGAGTATCATAGCATTGAAAATTGTGTCCTCTTGTAAATTAGATGAGCGGTTAATTTCCATTTCATTCACGAAACCAATATTATATTACTGATCTTGGATGATACTCGGATTACTGATGAAAAATATCTTAATGGAAGAGTTAAAGGTTAGAAATGATTTAGTTTTGTCATTGACCTGAACCAAAATATCCAAACCGGGATTTGGTAATTTTGGTTTTTTTCGGTTATTTGGAAAACTCCAGTCGACGA